AGAGATATTCATCTCTCTGTTTACTCCTTTGCAGGATCAGTATCAGTTCATCTTCACGGCCGTTGCCTGTATGCTCGAACGAGTCCTTCAGCCCAGCAGTCAACAGTTCTCCTATAACATGTCTGAGGTAAAAAACACGAGGAAAGTCATGTTCAACATCCCTATGAAGTGTTCATAAACAACATATGTTGGAATCAGTGGAGGAGGAAGTAGACAAAGCGTAGCTTCGGTAAGGGGAAGTGATTAGTAAAGCTGACTTCCTGTATGAAAATCCAGTGCAGCCGACAGTTTGACATTAGGTTGTTCAGCACAGACAGAGAGAGCAGTGTCTGCTGATTAGTGTTTAACAGGAAGAAATCGACTGAAGCAAACTAATGGACAACACCCGCTGACAGGTAGGTTCACTCTAACACAAAACTATAACCATATAAACACCATATTCTCCTGCAGACACTCACTTGGCCAGGGATCTCTAGATTCTGTTAATTCTCACTCTGATGAATCTTTTAATTATTTTATTTATGTCATTGATTCAGTTGTGTATTAACACTGAGTCTGAACAACTGCTGCTTCTCACTCTTTATGTTTGTTAGAAACAGGTCTCGAGCTCAGTGAGAGGATCCAATCGCATATTACTCAATCAAAAAAGGAAACACAGAAACTTAGAAACACATATGTTCTCTGTTCTATTCAGTTCTCCTTTGTTTAAACTCAACATTGTGAAATGCAAAAATGTATTTATGAGTCTTTAAAGGCGCAAACTGATTAAAAAATTGATTTGTAAAGGGTGTATAAGCTGCAATTAATGGAATTAATTAAATTATTAAACATAACTAATACATTATTTACTTTTTAATTTACTTATTATTTATAGATCAGTTATAAGACATTAATAAGAGACACCGCTGTGTTGCTAGGTTGTGGAAAATTCATCTCCTGCAGACACTTTTATCTCTTTAAACGAGCTATTTGTAAGATTTGCTATTGCTACATAGCTAATGTTAGCTTAACTTTAGAATCAACAGCTGTTCAGTCTTCCCAAGAGCTTCAGTCATCATTGTATTTACAATACAAGAGGTTATAATACGTCCTCTGAGCAGCTACTTCTTCAGACTGGACACTACTGTGACTCGGTATTGGAAAGTGACAAAACTAACCCTATCCCTAATTAGCATGCTTCAGAAGAAAAAAGGAAGTGTTAGAAATAGAAGCAAGTCAAGGGGGTTTCTTTCCACCTCTTGAGACAGCTGTTGGTGAGTAAAGAAATTAAGATTGATACACACATTTCTTCTAGACTAGTAAGTAAACAGCTGTTAATGCTAATGTTAAGCTAAGGTTAGCTATGTAGCAATAGCAAAACTTACAGATAGCTCCTTTAAATTCATAGGGAGAAAACATCTGCAGGACATCTGGAGCTAAAAATGTTTATAAAATTATTATTAACATGAGTTGTTAAAAGATCAAGCAAATTGTTGTTATAAATGATTAACAAATCTGTTAGTTACAGCTTATAAACCCTTCATTTATTTATTTATATTGCTCTTCCTAAATCAATGTTACAAAGTATTTTATACAAAACCAGGAAGAAGCCACTGACAGTAAAAGGTTACTGAAATGTAAACCAAGCTGTGGTTATGGCAGTAAACACACTGTGACCTGGTCTGTCATTGATGTTGTGATGTAGATTCATGTGTTTAACAGACATCAGGAACTACATGTGATGAATCAGCTCGTAAAATTGATGGTGGGTTATCTCACAACGGTTAGAGCAACAAAGTTAAACAACAATCACTGTGTGAGCGCAGAGGAAACAGACTATAAGCATCTATATCCTTCAAGCCAACCCATAGTCTAATCTCGTCTCTTCTAGTGTCATCTCTTACGCCGGGAACACACTGCCTGCATTGTTTGTAGACTCGTCCAGTACAACAGTGAATCCTGGGGATAATGTTCTGACAAATTCACCATCATTTTAATTTCCACAGTCATAGTTTACTAGTTTGTACAAGTTTAGACTTTTCATACCCATACACTTGGAATGAAATTTGACACTGGTTTTACCATCATATCCACCAAAATATTGAAGATGATCCCAATAAAAACCAATAGGAGGCCAATTAAAATATTTATTTATTGTCCTCATATGAACTTGTATAACATCAGTCTGGAACAATGGAAGTAAAATCCCATTTAACCTTAAGTACTGCTTTCTGTTTGTTCACCAGCCGCAGAAACCAGACAACAAGACAGCACCTGCTTCCTTGACCAAGAGGTACGTCTATCTATCTATCTATCTATCTATCTATCTATCTATCTATCTATCTATCTATCTATCTATCTATCTATCTATCTATCTATCTATCTATCTCATCTGTCTCACCCTAAGGTGTTAAACTAACACCCTCCTTACCCATTCCTCCATTCCTCCATTCCCATATGTTACCATGGCAAACGAGCGGAGTGAAGGCAGAGGAGAGGAAAAGAAGGTTTAGAGAAGAGGAGAAATGAGAGAGAAGAGGCGGGAAAATGTGAGAAAATAGAGAAAAAATTAGGAGAAAAGTGATGGAAAGAGGGATTAATAAAAATATGTAGGAAGGAAGGAAAGAAGAGGTAGATAACAGAGGAGGAGAATTTTTAGAAGGTGAGAAGAGGTGAGGGTAAAAAAAGAATAATTCAAATAAGAAAGAGTGAGAGGAGGAGGAGGAGGAGGAGGTGAGAAAAGAAAGAGGAAAGATGAAAAAAGTGACAGAGGAGAGAAAATGAGAGAGGAGAGGAAACAAAATAGGAAATAAGGAGAGGAGAGGAGGAAACAAGAAACAAAAGGAAACAAGAGAAGAAGAGATTGGCAATATTAAAAACAAACCAGATACCAACCAGTAATCAGTCAGCCTATCTGGTTAGGCCGGTGGTTACTATCAGTGTAACCATGATGACTGCAGTCACATGGCCAGAGCAGGAAGTTGAGAGCTGAGTGACTTCCTGCTGAGTTGTAAACATGTAGCAGCAGCAGCCGCAGCAGCAGCAGTGTGTGACCATTTCCCACCCATCTCAAAACGCAATGCATGATGGTACCTGTAGTCAATTCCATACTACAACTGTATACAGGAAGCACACACTCAGTGTCACAGTGTACAGTTACAAGTCACAGATCTCAGCATGCTGTACAGTCTGTTAAAGTGAAGGCAAACTCAAAAATCAGGGTTTATCAGTGCTGTGTCACATCTGGTAAGGTGTTTATCAGTGTAACAGTGTGGAGGATGATCTGAGTCTGAACTGTCGCACGCACACACACACACACACACACACATGCATACAATTACAACTAATTTGTATAGAAACATATCTGCGATCAGATCATGTTTCCTATAACCAAGTGCTCACAGCGCTGCAGGTTCAGTCATAGTGAAAAATCCTGCTATAGTTTTATACAGAAAAACTTCAAAACCTGTTTATTTACATTTAACCTAAACCACCATCTTTCACTTACCTGAACCAAAGAGCTGCTGTTATCTAATCTGCAGACGAGACTCTGGATGTGAACCTGGTCACTGGTGTGACAACCGTCCACTTTAACCACTTCCTGGTGATCTGTGCTGCTGTTAACAAATGTAACTTAACTCATTCAAAACATGTTCTCTCTGATCATGATGCAGTCACATGATGTTGTATGTAAAACATATTTGCTGTTTCTCTATCTTAAAGTGAACACGGGGACATTTTTAGTTCAGCAGTCAATATATCATTAAAGTATCTCATGTTTTTATCTATGAAATAAAAAAGGTGGACAGTTCCAGTTCATGTATTTTGACCATGGTAATTGTTCTACTGTAATAAACTGTGGTGAAGACCAACTGATTAAAAGAGATCACCAGTTGTAGTCTTTAACACAGCAGGAGTTTTTGACACATCGGTTTCCTGTAAAATTAGGCAAGTATGTGGTTAGCATTAGAAAAAGAGTGATATGATAATAAACTATGGTGAAGGCCGACTGATAAAATTCATTCTTTGTTCTCTTTAATAGTTAAAGATTGACTTAACTATTAGATAAAATACTTTAGCTAACAGTTAATCCCTACAGATCATATTCCCAATCTACTATTTGTCAAACAAGTTAGAGAGGCATAAGCCCACATTAGCCCTCGCACCTGCTGAACAAATAGCATGTTAAATGTGTTAAACTAAAGACAATGCACTATATTTATAGATAGCTTGGTAGATTGTATACCTCAAAATCAGATTCCTATCACCTGGTAGTACGATTCCTATGTCCCGTAGCCCCACCCCTGATCCTGACCCTGAGTTACCTTCTAGCTTATAAAGATGTTTGTGCTGATGTTGTGCATTCACTTGACACTTATTAGTTACTGGTCGAGTTTCACACAGTAGTTTCCACTAAAACCAGAAAAGGACGTGGTTAGTATGAGAAAAAGAGTGATATGAGTGACATGATTGCGAATTCACCTGTTCAAAACAGTTAAAAACAAACTGATTGTGATTGACTGATCTGATTGTGCTCCAGATTAGATATGAAACCATCCTGACGCTTTTCTGTTCTCTGGTTTTAATATTTCCCTTTATATATTAAACTCATGATCAGGATGAAGATCTTTTGTCTGTTTTCACATGTCAGACCTCAGCTTCTCTTCCGTGTTTATTTTCTACAGTTCCTACTGATGGTGATGATGCTTGTTTGTGTCAAAGTTTAATGTGTGAAAGTACAGGTTGAATTTCTTAAAGGAATAGTTTCAGATTTTGAGAAATGCTCTCATCTTTTTAAGAGGAGTCAGTTCGGTACAGAGCTGGAGTCAGGATGTGGTTAGCCTAGCTTAGCATAAAGCCTGGAAAGTATAAGGAAACAGCTAGCCTGGGTCTGACCACGTTCACCCTTCATCATCGTGAAGCTCACAAATTAACACAGTATGTGTCATTTATTTAATCTGTTTGTAGTTTTAGGGGGAGTGAACTGGTGGAACTGGTGACAGCACCAGTATAAAGAGCTGGGATTTGATGGAGGAGTTAGTTAGCTCTGGTTAGCAACTAACATGTATCAATATCTCTCTCTCTCTCTCTCTGTCCGTGTACAGATCATCAAAGGCGATTGACATGAATGATACGTATGCTGTGGTCAACAAGTCCAAACAGCCCCACCCACCTCCAACAAGCCCCGCCTACTCTGCCGTAGCACCGCCCAGATCCAGCAGGTAAAGAAACACCTTAAGTTACTCTAAAAGTTGCATCAGTTTCAGGCCCTTTAGAAGGTCAAACATTTTATAGTGTCTCATCATTTTGATTTACACTGAGTTTTTTTATTTTTTTATTTCCAGGTTTCATCAATGTTTTACTTCTGAATATTTAACCATAATTTTTAAACCCAGTCTCACAGCGAACTGTCTTCCTGCTCCTAGGAGCCTGCCTGCCTCGCACCACTATGATAACGACTCTGCAGGGGCATCAGCAACCCCTCTCTACAGCGCCGTCAGGCCCCGAGCTAAACCACAAAACATGCTGCTCTCTACCACGCCCATCTATGACACAGCAACATCAGCCAATCCCAGGCCGGGGGAGGGGCTACTGTCACCACACAACAACGAACAATATCAACTGGTGGCAGGTAACAGGGGAGAGGAACAGAAGGGTGTCAGATAAATAAGGAAGGGAGGGTGGATGGATGGTTGATAGATAGGTCAGCTAGCTGCAGCGCTACCGGTAGCAGTCGAGTTTGAACAGCGACGAATGAATGGCAGTTTGAAATGGTTATTTACAGTTTAAACACTGCAGAATCAAAAACATCTTCACTGGATATAACTAACAGCCATCTGTTGTTATAGTTACATTTTATGTTTCTGCTAATTTATGATCATGGCTCATGTGTGTCATTTTATCTGACAAATTTATTAGAAAACGTCAATTAGGACGTCAGGATCTTTTTTTGAATCAACAGTTCAGCTGCTCTGTAGTTGACACATACATGATCATCTTTGCCATGAGCATGTAGAGTTATATTAGTATGGATCATTACATTATGCACATGATCTGCTGTAAAGGGTAAATTAGCCAAACTGATTAGCATTTATGAGCTCCACTTTAATGACCCAGTAGCAGCAGTTTGATCAGATCAGAGACACAGACAGGTGAGCTATAAATACAAGTGAGAGGGTTTAAATATACTGTCAGTTAATGTTTGAGGATTGTTGTGTCTCTGTCATGAAGAACCACTGCGTTAATCTTCAGTTATGTTGTAAAATCATCACACTGAAAGAGTTCAGAATTAAACAATCTAAAACACAGAGTAAGAGATTACCTTCAGGTTGTTTATTATGAGTAAATCTATGATATGCACATTTTAATCATTATGTTTAGTCTCATATTCATATTGATAAGATAAAATGTTAAATATAAGTTTAAAATTGGAGAAGAAATCCCGTGTTAGGCGACTTATGGAGGCAAATAGTTGTGTGTATACATACTTATATGTGTGCATGTGTCCATATGAATTAGTGTTTGGTTATATTGGTGTCTTTGGGTCAGAGATTGGGATGGACAGAGAGAGTGGGAGGAATAACTGAAGGAAGGTAAAAGAGAAAGGAGAGATGGAAAGAAAGATTAAAAGTAAACGAACTGACTCTTGTCTTTTCCAGTTGAAGGACTTTCACGCACAGATGATGATTATGAAGAATTCTCGTCTTCAGCCCCAGACGTGTCCAACTTCTGCTCACCTGGAGGCATCGGTCAGTACACCTTTCCTCACCTGTACAGTCTGTCCTCACCTGTACAGTCTCTGCTCACCTGTACAGTCTGTCCTCACCTGTACAGTCTCTGTTCACCTGTACAGTCTGTCCTCACCTGTACAGTCTCTGCTCACCTGTACAGTCTGTCCTCACCTGTACAGTCTCTGTTCACCTGTACAGTCTGTCCTCACCTGTACAGTCTCTGCTCACCTGTACAGTCTGTCCTCACCTGTACACTTGTGTATCTAAATGCATTTGTGTTCTTTTTCAGGCTTTAACTGTCGTATTCAGAAGCCCAGAGGACCCAGAGATCCTCCTGCTGAGTGGAGCCGACTGGAGAGATGAACTGGTCCAACTGGACCACACTGGTTTACAGTAGATTGTATAAGTGCGTTAAGGTTAACAGAGTGGACGAGTTTCAGTTGACCTGAAGTGACCTGGACTGTGAGACTTGTTGTTTTATAAACAACTGACCGTCACCATAATCTGATCCCTGCCTGTAAATATTCCTGGTCTTCGTGTCGTCTTCACATGTGTCTTTGTACTTTATCAATGGTTTTCATAAAGTTTGATTTTCAGTGCGTGTGTGTGTGTGTATTTTATGCAGCTGCTCTGCTGACAGCCAGAGCCGGAGGCATATTGTTTTCAGGTTGTCTGTCCCCGTACATTAGTGCCATTCTTGTGAACACGATATCTCAGTAACACCTTGCAAAACTTCTTCAGATCATCATTGTTCTAATCAAAGACATCAGAGGTTTAGTTTTTATTTCCAGTTCTGGTCACAAAGTCTCCTCGTGTTATTCTGAGCTGCAGTGATGAAGAAGAAAAAGCATCATCACTGTCAGGAATCCTGTCAGATTAAAGAATCTGTGTTCCATTCAAATGTAGCTATAATAGTTATTATATATTCATTCAGTGTGATAAACTCTCCTCTGTTTGTTAGAAGCTCTGCTCTAAAACCAGAGTGGACACATGGACAGACTCAGTGTCAGGTCTGACCGCCAGGGGGGAGCAGAGCGACATGAAAACCAGCAGGAGACACAGACAGTGTGTGTGTGGGTGCAAGAAAGTGAGATTATGAAGTTACAGTTTCATTTCAGAGACAAAAGGAAATAAAGACACACACACACACACACACACACACACACACACACACACACACACACTGTCCAGTCATGCCAGAGGTTTAATTGAAACCACCTTCTTCCTCCCTGACAGTGTGTGTGTGTGTGTGTGTGTGAGAGAGAGAGAGAGAGAGACTGTGACATCATCAGATCTGAATCAGGTTACGAAAGATAGTGGTGATTCAGCACACACACACACACACACACACACTCACACACACACTCACACACTACACAGGCACACCACGTCAACACAACACAGCACACACAAACACACACGGCGCAGCGGGTCGTCACTAATTCTGATTCTCAAAAACCACTAAGTGCTACTCTCTCACTGCCAGCTGAGTGTGTGTGTGTGCGTGTTTTGCTACTTTACACAAAGCACACAACGCTTATTGCCAAGAGTTACCAATACACACACACACACACACACACACACGCACACATACAGGTCATGGGTGTTGGCTCTTTCAGTAGAGGAGAGACCACAGGCATCCAGAGAGAGAGAAAGAGAGAGAGAGAGAGAGAGAGAGAGAGAGAGAGATAGTGAAAATTAGAGGACAGATTCATGTTTTTTAATGTCATACGGTCATGTAAAAAGTTGTGTGTGTGTGTGTGTGTGTGTGTGTGTGTGTGTGTGTGTGTGTGTGTGTGTGTGTGTGTGTGTGTGTGTGTGTGTGTGTATTTGTGTGTGTATGTGTGTGTGTGTGTGTGTGTGTGTGTGTGTGTGTGTGTGTGTGTGTGTGTGTGTGTGGGTGCAATCTGGCTGTGAAGTGATGTCATCCTGACACGACTACACTGTGAGACTCTGAACTTCAGATGAGGCTTCAGTTTATTTGATATTTGCAGTTAACCCCTCCCATCATATGAAACCACACTTAAACATCAGCTTGTGGTTTGCATTTATGTTTGGATATTAATTATGACAATTTAAAGAGCAACTTAACAGCCCCTTAAAGTCTCGTTTTTGTTGACCTGTGGTGGTTTAACCTCTCACCTTGCGGCAGTGATGTACAGAGAGAAATTTTCACCACTGATGTACAACATCAATATGTCTAGTCTTCCATCCTCCATCATGCAGACCTGGTCTTATTTTTAGTTTTAACACCCACATAGTTTTAGTTTATATTGAAGTCATTTGTTTCAAAGTTGCTGTTTATAAGATTGCTTTAATTATATTTCTGTGTCCAGTAATTAACACACAGGTCGTGTTGTTCCATCTCTGTCAGGCTGCAGCCAGTAATTATTTTAATCATCAGTAGATCTGACATTTCTCTTTAATAACCAATTGATTATTTAGTGAATAAAATGTCAGGAAATGGTGGAAAATGTCCACAATTACTACCTGAAGCCCAAGTGCACATAATCAAGTTTATTATGTTATTTGTTGAGATGTTGAGTTTACTGTCAGAGACAATAGCACTGACTGATAGACACATATTTCACTCTACCCCAAAGTAAAGAAAGATTTAACATCTGTGCAAAGATAAAATGAACGTTTCCTGCGGCACCTTCACTCTGTGTTTATCAATCCTACTTACTCCCACATGTTCCACCTGCAGACAGGTCTCCTCTCTCTGGCAGCTACACGAGTCTCACCAGTGCTCTCCAATGAAGTGCTGGCTTTATTTACATTTTTAAAAGTGGATAGTTGCAGTTTAATTTATTCAGTGTCCTGATCTAACATTGTGGCTTCAGGAGGTCTGAGTGGAGGCATCTACATCTCCTGTCTTTCCAGAGATTGAGAACATGTTGACAAGTCATGCAAATTCAAATCTGAACAAGTTCATAAAATCCCTCTCAGAATAAAACCTCACTGGAATCTTCTCACTTGGAAATATGCAATATTCTTTAAGATCAGATCCATTTCATTGATCTCACGCACAGAAACCGAAGCTGCTCTAACTTCAGTTTCATTGGGATTGAATTTATCGTCCACAAAACCCAAATATCATCAGCTGTGTGTGTGTGTGTGTGTCAGGCTCGGCTCCCTCCTTTGTTCTCAGCTCATCTATCCTGAAATTATAACAACTGAACTACAAAAATAAAAAAAAGCAGAAGAGTGATTAACACACAAATAGTTCAGTTTCGATTTCATAACAAACCATCACATACAATATTGATTAGAGGGGCAGAAATAAAAAAAAATGTGAATTCACAGGTGAAACTTTAAACTCACTCAACAACAGACTGCTGTTTAAAACATCTGCACACCTGGTTAAGATATTTATAAATCCTCAGCTGTGTGTGTGTGTGTGTGTGTGTGTGTGTGTGTGTGTGTGTGTGTGTGTGTGTGTGTGTGTGTATGTGTGTGGATGGAAGGAAGGAAGGATGGAGATGATACACAGGAAGTATGTCCATGAAATGATTTGGTTGGTCATTATAACCTGTGATACTCAGGACAGAGCCAGTCTAACTGTTTCCCCCTGTTCCCGGTCTTTATGCTCCACATCTAAGTGTGTAAAACATATAGTTAACATTTATGGAGCCTCTGGTTGTAACATGATCTTCATTATTTTCACTGTTCAATATTCTTTTCTCAGATCATCAGTGTGAATCATATTAATTTTTTTATTTCTTTCAGAAATGTCTTCTCATGTGACGGCAGTAAAGCTGAGAGTGGGAAAGGAGTGAAGGAAGTAGAAAAGTGTAAATATGCCAATAGAGTCATGGAAGAGAGAGAGCGAAAGAGAGAGTGTGAGAGAGTTAATGGAAAAGAGTGACAAAAATAGAAAAAGATGGTGGAGAGAGAGAGAGAGTGATGTAAGAGAAGGAGAGTTTGAAAGAGAGAGGAGGGGAAAGTGATGAAAAGAGAGGGATGGGAACAGGCTGATGAAAAAAGAGAGATAGTGATTTAAGAGAGAGAGAGAGAGAGAGAGGAGTGATGAAACAGAGGGATAGCGGAGAGAGAGAGAGAGAGAGAGAGAGAGAGAGCAGTCCTGCCACTGAGCCTTGTTGCTAGGCAACTGAGCAGCTCCTCTTTGAAGTTTTTTCTCATTGTTTTTTTTTTCTAACAATGAGGTCAGAGCGAGGCTCAACGGTATCCGTGGTAACCACCTCAGCACCACGCCTGGTGGCCGTCCCGTCCCCCGAGAGAGAGGGAGAGAGAGAGAGAGAGAGAGGGAGAGAGAGAGAGAGAGAGAGAGAGACTGTGTTCTCTGCCAAAGTGCCCATGAGCAGAACTTCAGTCGTTCTCAGGAGACTTTTTCACCCTGACTTCAGTCTCCCAGGTGACTGTCCTGCCACCGCTAACCTCTTCACTGAGACTGACTGACCTTAAAGCTACAGTTAATTACTTTTTGGCCACTGGGGGGCAGAGTAACTCCACCTTATCGTCTAACATGTTAACAAACAGCTGCTTATTTTCACATCCAGCTGATCAACATGATGATTCATGTGTTGTGGTGTTAGTGTCACCTGATGAATCTCAGTCCAGTGTTCCCTCTCTTTTAGCTCTGTGTTTGGTCTCTACCAGCTGCTGAGGGAAACATCTGGCTCGTTAGCTGCTAAATGCTCCACTACTTCAGTGGGTAGAGGGCAGTGTAGGGCTTTTTTGATGTTTTTTTTTTGACTGCAAAGTCTCGTTACCAAACATTTAAAGGTAGAGTAATCGACTAATACACTTTCTGTCAAATTCAGTGAATGTCTCCTTATGGCCTGCTAGCTGTCGGTTCTGTGTGTGTGTTGAAAAAGACGAGATGAGAGACGATACATCTGACTCATGCTAACAGATAGGGCCAATTCAAGGATTACCAGGGAAGGAGAAGGAGCAGTCTACCTTTCTGTTGCTGCCAGACTGCATAGAGCTTTGAATGGAATTGATTGGGCCTGAATTGGGACTGGCGGTGAGATTAAGGCGAGTGCATGCAGGAACATTTACCAGCAGCGGTGTGACGGGAGCATATACTCCACAATATATTCACATTGTCAAGATGGAGAAATGACCAAGGAGCAGCCATAGAGTGGAAGTTCAGAAGAACAAAGAATGAAACAGTGCGATGATCAGGTGAAGAGCTACATTAACATTGGCTTTCCAGCTGTGGAGATTGAACAGTCGGACTAGGAAAAAAATGCATCCCAAATGACAGGCACAAAGAAAGGGCTTGGACAGAGACTGAGGGGACGGGTCGCTCTGTTTCTGCTTCACAGGTGGGTAACATTAGCTTTGACAATAGGTCAGTGTTGTTTTGTCCCATTTGCTAATATTTGTGATAGCTAATCCTAACTTGATAGTTCGCAAGCCGGTAGCAGTGTCACATGTGTCGGGTATCGTCAAATTATTTAACCAAAGACGTTCAGTTTACTTTATAGTTTGCTAAGATGTGTTGTTGGTGTGATGTTAGCTACAGTAAGCGGACAGGGGAAAGACCATCTCATCCTCTCTGCACATTAGCTTAGCAACCGCAGCTGTAGCAGACAGTTAGCTGTCTGGTAGTTTGCTCTGAATCATGGTATCTGTCTGTACAACATGTGAAGAGTTTTATAGACCTAAAAACACAAGTTTGCTAGCACAGTGGATTTATTTGGTTGGATGCACAATTCTGTGTTAGGTAATTTTAGCTTCATTGTTAGCTTAGCTACAAACCAAGTCGAGTTTTTACTCTGTTGTGTTTTGGATGTTCAAGGACAAACAGCCATCTGTAAAACAGCAACTACACAAGCATTTTCAGGTTTCACTGATATTTAAAGGTATTACAGTCTGTTTGAAAGCTTGGAGGAAAACCAGAGTGTTTCACAGAGGAGGAGGAAGAAGAAGAAACTGGATAAATGTGATCAGTCTACTGTGATGTTCAGCGGCGTTTTCTGCTTTAAGTGTGTTTGGGTTCTGGATAATAAAACTGTGTCTGATACACACACCTACACACACACATACACATGCACACACACACACATATACACACACAAATGCACACAACAGATGTGTTGGATATCAGACAAACCTCAGAGAAGTAAAAATAAATAAAGACAGAGACACAGAAAATTTGTTCTGCTCTGCGGCTTCGACCTTATAAACTTCACTCAGGATTTAACCAACAGCTGCTGCTGCACACACACACACACACACACACACACACACACACACACACACACACACACACACACACACACACACACACACACACACACGCACGCACGCACGCGCACGCACGCACGCACACACAGGGTCCAGATGTGTTTTGTAATAGTAGCAGGGATGTAAAGAAGGAAGCATGCAGTAGGTCCTGCAACCACATAGACACACATACGTAAACACAGGCCCATTGTCATTCACGTACAAACACACACACACACACACACACACACACACGTATGGCCGCACTCACACACAGATGTCCATTGTCATGCATGCTGCTGGCTGTTTCACGCCGACTCAAAAAGATTAACGGGTGATCGGCATCAATTTACACTGAAGAGAGAGGGGGGAGGGGGAGGGGTGAGAAATGTTTTTAGAGGCAAAAACATAGAGAGAGTAAATACAGTGTTGCTGCAGAAAGATGTACACAGGTGTCACAGTGAGAGATGATAAGTTCATTAGTTAAGTTACAGCTTCGCTCCAACCTCCACTTGCTGGCTGCTAGTTCATGATTATACATATATATATATATATATATATATATATACATACAGTATGTATAATCAAGCTTGTGAAACATGATTCCTTGAATTGTAATCAGAATAATTACATAATTTAATAAAAAATTATGCAGTCTTTTGTCACGCACATATACTCTTAAAAAAATCCTCTCAAGACATGTTTTAAACCCTGTAAAAACCCTCTGTTATGATTCATATTGTGTTTAACTTGGCTAAACTGGGGCTGAAACTCATCTACACTTACTTCCTCATTGAGAAATCTAGATTAGGCTTTATGCCCCGCCCACCACCTGCTCGCTCCACGTTGACAGGTGAAAGAGCAGAGAGTATCAAGATGGTTGGAGGCGGAAACATCAGAGAGACTCAGCCACATGTTTGAGCCTCAGTCAGACCCAGACTCAGATGAGGAGTCTGTTGAGACCAGAATCACTAGACTGGCAGACGTATCAGAGCGGTTAGCATAGTTAGCATCTTTTATTTGTTTGCAATGTTTGGTATTGTAACTGGAAATGGCTGACACAGCATTTCTGGTTGTGCTAATGCTAATTCTCTCTCTCTGTACTGACAAGGTTTCAGGTTTATTTAGCCCCGCCCCTCATCCCCACAGGTTGACAGGATTGGTTCCTTAGGTTTGTGACTTATGAAACCCTGGCTGTCTGTATCTGTTTTTTATGGGACTGTCATTGGTTCACTGCAGTTCATGGTGGAAATTCTCAGTCATGGTGTTGATTGATTATTTCACTCATCGTGTCTTGTATTATATGGACGTTAACAAGGTTAAACACTTTATTCTCGGTGAAGGAAGTCTTGGTCTTTAAATGTAAACAAAAAGCTCATTAGAAAACTGGTTATGTTTATTCATTTGTGCCTAAAAGTAACCAAAACCACAAGCATTTCGCAACCATTATTATTGTTACCATGACGACAAAGGTTCATTACACCTGACACTGGCACGTTACTATGGGTCGTATTGGTGCTGGTGATTAAGGTTGTGGAACAGTCATGGTTTGGTTAGGTTCAGGAACAGGGGCCAGTTGCACAAAACACCTTAAGTTTTTTACATAAGTATAACACTTAACATTTATTTCTCCTTAGCTGAGGGAGTTACTTAAGGGTATTGCACAAAATCTCTCCCTCTTTCTCTGATGAGGTTTCTCCTCTTTTCTAAAACCTTCCTTCTTTCCCTCTTCCCTACCTTTCTTTACTGCCTTCGTTCTTTCCTCAAACTTCCATCCATATTTCCTCCTCCCTTCATCCTTCCTCTCTTTCTTCCACCCCATTCTCTTTCTAGTCTTCCACCTTACTTGATCCACATGACAAGGAAAGGAAAGGAAAGGAAAGGAAAGGAAAGGAAAGGAAAGGAAAGGAAAGGAAAAGAAAGGGAATGAGAAAAGTGGAAAGAATAAAAAAGGCGAAGATGAAAAGAGGAGAGGGCTAGACCCCTCAAGTGGCTTCAATTAAGAAAATTACAGAGAGAGAAACAGAGACAGAAAGAGAGAGAGAGGCCAAACCAGAGCTGTCAGACTCAGAGCTGATTACAGGGTGAACCCTCTGCCTGCAGCCCAGAGCCCTGCAGGATCTAACCCCAGTCTAAACCTGAACCTGAACCCAGCCCCGACTCAGGGTTATTTTAGGCTCCAGCTGCTCTGAGTGCTCTGGAAACACTGAGTCTGCTGCTCAAGAACTGCTCCATCAGACCACAGCACGTCTGCAGTCAGGCTGGTGGTGCAGGCCCGACACAGGCCCACACTCTGCTGTGCATTTGGTTATTTACAGATTTAACAGCTGGATTAGTTTTCCTCTGTTTACACGGTTCTAAACAGCTACTTCACTGCAGCTCAGTTTATTTCATTTCAGCTGGATGATCTGCCTCAGCTCTGTTTATGAGTCTTTGACTCACGTCCACGTAAAGTCTCAAACATTTGTTCAACACGTCGAATGAAATAGTGATTTTCTAACACAACGTGGCTCTTCTTTAGTGGAAGAGGTGAAAGTCCAGTTACAAGTGATAAATCACTGTCTGTAGTCCAACTGTGTGACTGGGTCTGTTTAGGTTTTCACCAACACATCCTGCGTGGTCTCTGATGATATTATAGCTCTATAATAATGATGAGCGGGACCTCACAGCTGTTTGGACTGGAGCTTTATATTTTCTCTGAATGAGCTGAGAAGAACCTGGAACAGAAAATAAGAAGAGAAGAAGAAAAGACTGGAACAATAAACAAAGCTGCAGGGAAAGTTTTCATGATTCAGACACTATTACACAATAGATTTTATTTTATGATTAAACATATTAGTAAACATAAGATAAACACGTTGTTTTTACTGTATTACTCTCCCATCAGATCAGATGACCAATCAATAACCTGACTTTGATCAAAGGGGCGTGGCCATTCAGTAAAAAACATTTACTTATAGGACTCACCTCTGAGTTCCTCTGTGTGCCTCCTCTCTCCACCACCTGCTGGTCCTGTTTCACACTGATCCTCAGTTTCAGGTAATAGAGTCATACACAGCTGTAGTGAACAATTTATGTCCTCGACCTCTGACCTCTGACCTGTGATCAGCCCTCTCTGTCTGACTAACCCTCCACCGGTCTGTCTCACTGTCTGTCTGTCTGTTTATCTGTCTATCTGTCTGTCTCCCTCTCTGACAGGAGGACAGTCTGTCTGACTCATCAGACTGTGAGGATGTGAGTAATCTGTGATCGCACACATGAGCACTGTGTATCTCATGTACCGTTTTAGACGGTACACACACTCACCACAGTCACTGTGTGTGTGTGTGTGTGTGTGTTAATAGGTGTGAGCAGTGAGAAGACACTGGTTGAATCTATCACTGTATCTATTGTTCTATTTTAGTCCCAAACTTTTACAGTTTCTGTTTGTTGTCTCTGATCGGTGTCTCTAACATATTGTTACATATTCAGTCTCAGTCCACAGAGGAAAAATCACTCTCAGCTGCAAACAGCTCACTGACATGTGAAATGACCCTGGTGTTGTTATGACGGGTCACAAAACGGAACTCCTGGTTTAATCTGTTATAATGTGTTTTATTGTTTTAGATGTAAAATTTTGATCTGACAATGAGCCGCTAACTTCAGCCGTCAGATACATGTAGTAAAAGTTCTCAGGTAAAGTATCTCCAAGTACAATAATGTACTCAGTTACAGTCTACCACTGTCAGATCCAGATGTTGATACACCCACCTTCATCATCCTCAGCATTTCCAGTTATGAGCTCACAACAATCAGACCATGTTGCAGGACCCTGTGGTTAATGTGCCCTGGGTTTCACCTCTCAGGCTACACGCAGGCTGCGCTGCTCTCTGATTGGTGGAGCTGGTTTTGGTTTACAGACATTAAACCATTTCATCTGTATTTTAACTTACAGCTGTTACAGCTTTACTTCAACTACATCTTTATCAACATGTTCAGATTTCAAAACTCACAACACTCATGTAGCTGTAGTATTTACATATATTTAGTTTTTTCCTCTTTATTTAATGTCTTTCTTTCTTGTTAAGTTTGATATTTGGTGCTTTTACATTGATCTATTGACATATTTATTGATGACTCAGCATCGGATGGACAACACAGCTGTGATTTATCCTCAGAGACAATGAAATCTGTGTATTTCTGTTCCTTTCTCTCTCTATCAGCTGGTTTGTATTTGTTTTCCCGTCTCTCTCTCTCTCTCTCTCCCTGAATTTCCACATCTTTTTCTCTCTTTCCTCATTTTCTGTTTCTCCCTCATCGTCCATTTGTCTTCACTCCTCCATCTCCATCCCCCTTTATTTTCATGCATCCCCTCACTTCTCTCTCTCTCTCTCTATAGCCTACATATATTTATACACCTCCACTGCATCGCTGTATATTTCTCTCTCACACACACACACATTGTATGCCTATGTCTCTCTTCCAGTCTCTCTCTGCACATCTGGCTTTGGGAGGAGGAAAAACAGCAGATTAAGGAGTTGGACTCAACCAAAGCAGACTCCGTGGAGATGTGGAAGAGCTGCTTGTCTAACTACAAACACACAGTTGTCTCTATTCTGCCATGAAAAACTTCACTTCATTCTCTCTTATGTTAATAATAAACGTGATTTACGGACTGAGCGTTTAATAAACCGACTCATTGATGTTTGATTAGTTTAATTCACCTCCTCTAACTGACCCGCCCCCCTCCCACCCGGGTGCAGAGTGGTACGGTCCAGATGGGGGGCTGGCTGTGGCGGAGCAGAGGCAGACCGAGCCGAGCCAAGCCGAGGCAGGCTGTGTGTGAACGAGGAGACGCGCCGCTCCGCGCTCTGATCCCTCAGCTCTGGACTATTCTTTCACTTTTTAACGCATGAAATTTTCACCTGTGCGGACTCCTCCTGCTGCCAACACCTGACCTCAGCTCTCTCAGGTTCTATGAGCAGAGAAAGAGAAGAAGAAGAAGAAGAAGAAGGACGGCAGCAGCGCGTGGGACTGTGGATTTAAATAACTGATTGGACTTTTCTGCGCGTTTACGTCCAGGTATGTCCGGAGGGTTTTGGGTGGAGAGGTTGAGGGTGTGCGTGTGTGTGTTTGTGTGTGCGTGTATGTATGTGTGTGTGTGTGTGTGTGTGTGTGTGTGTGTTTCGGGGGAGGGGGGGGGGGGGGGGGTTCTCCAGGTCCGGGTGGCAGATCTGGGGGTAGCAGGGTGGTGAAGGTGGTGGTGGTGAAGGGGGGTGTATATGTGTGGATGTTTGGGGGGAAAACGCCTCGTCTCCCCGCCGCATCACCGCTCATCTGCTGCTTCTGCTCCGTGTTTTTTTTTTTTTTTTTTTTTTACGCGTGGAAATTTCCCTTTTTTTCCCACGCAGGGAGTGGGGGTGAGGCAGCGGGACTGTGGGGGTTGATACCCCAGGTAGGACTGTTTTTACACTCGGGGTATTTTTGGAGGTACGCTCGGCCTCGGTGTGAGCTCCAGTCGCTGTGGCTCTCTTTGCGTTTTTCGTCCATTTTAAACAGTTAAATTCGGTGCGTAAAAGAGGCGTTTTGTGGCTGCAAATGTGTGTTTTTCAGTGTGTGGTGGAGGGGGAGAGTGGTGGGGGAGGTGGAGGAGCAGGGGAGGAGGGGGTCTGGGAGGTAGCGAGGCTCCAGACGCCGATCCATTAAAGAAGAACAAAAGGGGGAGGCAGCAGAGAAAACGTTTTAAATCGCTGCTGAAACGGCGAAAAAGCGTTGAAACGTCGCTCCGACATCTGCGGACAAACCTCCGACTGCTGCCCGAGAATCACGCTCTAAATTCAGCCTGGTGTTTTTCTGAATCCGCCTTCATCCGTCCGTCCATGTGCTGGAGAGACGCCTCCATCCTCTGAACCAGCTCCGCTCGTAGAACCGACCGATCGATCCGAGTCGAACCCGTAGATCTGATCGAACTGTTCGGCGCGTTATTGATAGATTTGAAAGACACGGTCGTGTTGATCGGACTGTGATCGATGCACACGATGATGTACATTCAAACTAAGCTGAAGGTTGTTATCAATCAGAAATCCCATCAGTTGATCTTTGATTTGTGATGTTCTGCTTTAGACTGACCTGACTGGCCCTAGAATACATTTCTGATAATCAGTTAAAATGATGATGATGATGATGATGACAAATGTAGAAAATCAATCAGCGATGTGATCAGAACAATAATCATCTGGAATCAGATTTTTTTGACCAAACACACAACACAGTTTCCTACAGGCTGAAGTGTCAGGAAGGTAATCAATAATGAAAAGAATCAGTAATATGATCAGTGATATAATAAGTGATCAATCCACAGCAGGAAAAACAACCCACATACTGACTCTATTATCAATATGCGATATGATTGGTTGTGTGGTGATGGATGAGTAAGTGATGTGAGCAGCAGCAGGTCTCACCCACATGTCCTCACTAACCAATGTTCACCTGATCAATGATCTGATCAGTAATTGTATGGATCAGATGAATGATAAAGGTGACATGATGCAGATTTAGCTCTGAGCTCAAGCAGAGAATAAGTCTCAGTGTTTGGGTCTGAATCCAAAGCAGCATGTTTAACTAATCAATAATCAAATTGATCAGTAATGATTATCTGTACTCCACAGAAGAAAAGTGCAGCAGATGTTAGATCAGGTTCAGATCAGAGGTGAAACGATTCGTCGATGAGTCGATGGGAAGAAAAATAATCAGCATCTGCATGTTTTGATTATCGATTATTGATTTGATTTGATTGCTTACATGTTAAACTTGTCCTGGCTGCAGTTTGTCTGATCGGAGGAGTTTCTGCTTCCGTTCAGTGACAGTCACTTGATTCACCCTGGACTGAAGACAACTGAAGATGATTTATTGATGATTCATCAATAATGATAATGATCATCAGTTTCAGTCTGAGTTCAGATGAAATATAAAACTTTATTTAATATGTGCAGAGCAGAGCAGCAGGAGGTTCTAGATCATATAACACAGACCCATCATGGATGAGATTAAATATGAGAATAATCAAAACAAATTAAAGGAGACGAACAGGAAATGAAGGTGAGATTACAAAATAAGAGCAGCAAATGGTCTGTAACAAGGAAAAAAAGAAACATTTAGATTCAGGTGATTAAAATAAACACAGAAGCTGGATGAATAAAATCATCAGTGTATCAGCAACTCCCAATAATTTAGATAATTAACTGTGTAGAATCATTTACAGCAGCATCAGCTTGAGAGAATACATTTTAAAACCTTTAACTCCAAGAGTGTGAGACCGGGTCCTCCTTGACCAGGAGTCCAAAACGATCAGGTTAAGATCAGATACAATCATCTGCTCACTGATCGATTAATTAACTAATCACTGAGACTCTAATGACAATGTTTCAACCACAAATGGTTCTTTTCAGGTGAAGGTGAGGGTGTGAGCACACCTGTACACACATATATATATATATATATATATATACTGTATATATATATCAGATCATCTGTGAATCGGATAAACAACAACAACAACAATAATTGTTTCATCGTCTCAGATGTGTTTCAAACAAAAATAGTAAAAATCTGTTTCCTCAGATGAGAAACTTTGCTACTTTTCACAGTGAACTCAACATTTCTTTAGTTTTTGGAATTTGTTTGAACAAAACACGACACATGAAGATTTCGCTCTGGCTCTGAGGTCATGAATGTGTGTTTTCACTGTTTTATGACATTGAGTTGCAGATACGATTAATCAGATCAACAGATAGAGCTCCAGTGTCTGAAACACGCTCACATGATCAGCGGGAGTTTAAATGGTCAGAATATGAGATGAGGATGAAGGATGAAGAGCTACAGTCTGACCGAGGCTGGACCTCCATCAGACAAAAGCTCCAGGATCCTGGTCTTGTAGAAGGACTCGGCCTGTGAAAACACAGAAAAACCTCAGTCAGGTTGTATTGTTCCATCACAGGAAGAACTGTCAGACTGAACCCAACTGTTATTTTCATCATCAATATGTATTACAAATATTTTCTTTTATAGTCAGCTGATTGATCAGAGAATAAAACATCAGGAAACAGTGAAAATGCCTCATTATTCCCCCAAGCCCAAATCAACATGTTCTAATGTCTAAAACTGGCAAGTATTCACATTTGAAAAACTGGTACCTGTAAAGTTTTGAGCATTTTTGCTTATAACTTAAATGATGAATGATAATTACATTTTTCTTATTTACCCTCCTGAGACCACATTAGAGTCTGTGCTTGATCTGATGTTTGGATCAGTACCAGTTCTTAGTAGCTGAGTTTACATCAGTCTGTTTGTCCACTGCAAACAGAGGAGTCAGATTCTTCACGTAAACACAACAAGTTACTGAACAGTTAGAAACAAACAGCTTCTGCACTACATTCATTCAAGTTCCCTCAGCGTGTAATCACTCTGATGTTTCCTGTAGCGCCGTCATCAGGTCAACACTTTAATTTGGTTTATGACCAAATCAAACAAAAGAGCTGCTAAGATAGGTTGAATAATTTATCAATCAAAGAAACTATTTCATGTGATTTTTCAAATCCAGGTTCCAGGTTTTCAGGTGTGAGAATTTCTTGCTCTTACATTAGATTCAATTGAACACATTTGAGTTTTGGACACAAACAACACATTTATTGAGTCACAGCCACTGATTTTTGGTGTTTTATAAACCAGCTGATTAATTGTATCATTGAGTAAGTTAGCTTTCCCACCTTGTGGTTGTTTCCTCCAACAACCAGACAAGTTTCAGGAAACATGGTCACAATCTGTCCTTCATGAGTTACAGTGTTGAATAATGGTCAGAAGTGTTTCTGCAGAACATTATGATGTCACAGTGAAGTTGACCTTTTGGATATGAAATGTCATCATTTCATCATTTTATCCTGTTAGAAGGTTTGAGTTAAAATTGTCATAATTAGCAAATAAATTCTTGGGTTAAAGGGGAAAAAAAGTGTTTGTGAGGTCACAGTGACGTTGACCTTTGACCACCAAAATCTAATCAGTTCATCCTTGAATTCAAGTGAATGCTTGTGCCAAATTTTAAGAAATTCTCTCAAGGCGTTACTGAGATGTCGTGTCCACGAAAACAGCAGAGACGACCTGAAAACACCCCCACGCCTCAGTTGCTGTCGATCAATAAAAATCATCAGATTAATCAATGATGAAAAATAATTGTTAGCTGCAGCTCGAGACCAAATATCAACAAATCTCTTAACATTCCCATCAGCCTCAGCTCTGCTCTGTGTTTATCACTGATGAGCATGTTTGAGCTGAATATATTAGCCATCACCGTGTAAGCATCAACACGAGCGTGTTAAAGGTTCGGTCTGATTCAGAAACAGGAAGTGAACACTACAGTAGAGAGGTCAGAGGTCACACCTCTAACTGCCTCAATTCTGGTTTTGGTATGTTCATATAAAACAGTTGTTGTTGTTTCGTTGACAGAATCAACAGTGAACCACAGTCGAACTAGGACGGTCAGTTTTACAGCTGTTGTTATTGTGCAGTTTGATTAGCTGAATGTTGAATGAAACACTGATGTAAACATCCCTAAAAGCTG